CGATGGGCCGAGACGGCGCTGTCCTTTCATGGGCGGTCCCGTATTGACCAGGAGGTTCGTGACAGGTACTGGGCTTCGCTACTTCATCAAGCGAATGATGGCAAGGAGCTCTCCGAATGTGCTCGTGTCCGTGCGAGCCATTCGTGGGTACACCGTAACAGCGGGTCCCTCTACGCGCAATTCCATCACGTATGAGTCAATACTCTCCCGACTCGCATTAGAATATCACGCGGCAGACGCTGAGTCGGTGGCCCGCCTATCGAGTGTCGAGCGGGCTGTGGTACTACTGAAACGGCAGCTCACGTCATTCAGGGCTGTCACCGCACTCATGGAGGCCGAATACTGCGACACGATGCAATTTGCCGTATCGCAGTCAGTAGCCTCCGGCAGTTGGGGTGGAGCATCCGGCAGGAGCCGCACTTTCATACCAGAGAAAGCTTGTGGAAGCCAGATATCGTCGCTGTAAAGGATCAGGTTGTCAAGGTGATCGATGCGCAAGTCATCAGCGCTTCATCGTCCCTTGACGACTCGCACCGTCGGAAAGTCGCCAAATATGATACCCCTGACATTCGTCATCAGGTCGCCAGTGAGTATGGGGTCGAGAACGATAACATCTCGTTCTTTTCGATCACGATCTCCTAGCGGGGTATCTGGTCCGCTGCTTCCGCCGCTAGTCTGTGCGAACTCGGATTGAGCAAATGTTTGGATTTCATCACGGTAATTGGTGTTGGTATGAGGGGTCGTCAGTAGGCTAGAGCCCGACGAATTGAGGTTAGGGCTATTATCCACTTTAAAGGATAATTAGCAATTATTAAAGTGAATAAAAGATGCTTCAAGTAATAATCAGGTATATGAACTCTGACTGAGAGTCGGCACCTTAGGTGTCAGCCAGGTTTTACAAATAGATAAGACGTCGATGTAATGATTTACGAGAAAAGACTTTATTTGATCTAAGTGTGATCTTAGTGAATTTACATTTGCATGCGCAACACGCAACGGCTCAGATGTACCAGCAACATCAATAGCTGTGGTGGAGGGTGACTGTCAGATAATCTTGGCCAGGTAATCCTCTGTGACTATCGAAATACGTTCCAAATTTGCATTTTTACTGACAAATACAGTGATAACCATACCCTGACGTACCCATGTTTGCCAGATCCTTTGCCACACGTTTCAACTTGAATGTGTATTCAGATTTCATCGCGAAAATTCTGATTGCATCGTTCTGGTCGGCTCCCGTGAACACATCCTTATAGCATATGTGCCCCATACTTCGCTTTGTTTCAAGGATGTAATATTGGATAGTGATGGATCGAATTTTACGACTACAGTCTTTGTACTTCTTTGGGGCTGCGTGTTATGCCCTTAGTCCGTGAGCGATTACGAAAGTCTCGAATCATGACAATTATCTGAACGTATTTTTGTAAGCCGAGGTGCTTCAGAATTCTCTCAGCCAGCTGCATGTGACTCAGGCGAGAAGTAGCTGGAGTGGCACACAATTTAAGCTCTCAAGGGTCTGGCATTGTAGTGCATAGCTTTCAAACGTTGGATTTCACGCTCGGCTCTGTCAAGTCGATTTTTCTGGCTTGCCAGTTCATTGCGCAATGCCTTGTCTCTCGCTGCCATGAACTTATATAGGACCACGAGCCTGTCCGAGTCGGAAAGCTCAGAGAAGCTCTCTACACTTACAGGAGATTAGTCCGCCATTTTTTTTTGTTCTCCGTTGGAGTGCACCAATAGGTCAACGAGGGGTACTCCTCTTCTGGATCTAGGCTCACACGGCCGCTATCGAGTCGCTCTGCTCTTGCCGAATTTTTTATCGCTCGTTGGGCCGATGCACAAGCACTAGTGACGGTGTCTATTTAGACCGGCAGATGATGACAGATTTTGCAAAAAGGATTTTCTCACACATGCCTCTTGGAGTACTTAAAGTATGTCCAGAGACAAGACGAAACCCAAAATTTTAGCGTGATCCTATGTAGATAAAAATATCTTGCATTGTGTATTGTTAAACGCTGCGCTGTTATAACAGTAGCGCACACTTTTTGTTTATTTATATAATATGTAAACAAGCCGCTAGGTGGTGAACTTGTAAAAACTTGTAACCCAAAAATGAACCATGGCTAAAGATGCTTAATATCCGAGTCGAAATAAAGCTCCGGTATGTTCCGGGTTGAACACAAATACCTGATTTTCATTGATTGAGAAACGGGTTAGCCACTCTACCTGAATAAGTAAGTACCTGAATAAGTGCTTACTATTCAAACAGACAGCTAAAGAGGAGAGATACCTGAGAGCTTGAACGATCTACAGAAGGTAGCGATCAAAAGCCACTTTTTCCAGACGATCAAACACTCAGGCCTAAGACACCTGCAAAGGCACGAACGAGATCACCCCTGCTGACTCCTATTCGTCATTACCAGTCACGACTTCATCGAGTCCAATCTCAGTAGCTTCCACTGCACGTCGGATTCACGATTCCTCATCATCACACCGGCGCAGTCCGCCGAATCATCACTACCTAACGAGACTTTTCTCGTAATTGTTATCCGTCCAATAACAGTATACACACAGCACTTATGCCTCTTTCATAATAAGTTTATTTCATCGTTTTCTACCTCTCAAAGAAATGGCATAAGTTTAGAAATAGTTATCCCAAAAACGACTTTTGAGAAATGCTCACCTTTTTAGTACATTTAATTGGGTAGCTGCAACCTGCACTCATGCCAATATTTTTTATGAACTATTCTAATCAATCAATTTCATACTGCTCAAAGGCATAAGTTAAAAAATTAATATCCTCGAATTATTATTTTTTACATTTCGAGCCTAGACCTGTAGATTTAAGGCTACCATGGGCACTTATGCCTTACTCAAGGTAAGCTGGGCTAATAGTTTACAATCATTACATGAAAAAAGGCATAAGCTAAAAAATAAATATCCTACCCTTTATTTATTGCAAACGCGCATACGCCAAGACATTTTTATCTACATGGGATCACGCTAACGTTTTGGATTTAGTCTTGTCTCTGGACATACTTTAAGTACTCTAAGAGGCATGTATAAAAAATTGTTATGCAAAATCTTTCATCATCTGGCGGTCTAATTGCAGAACCCGGCTTTATTCAGATGGAAGCACAGCAGGTCTTAAGGTATCTCTCAATGAAATTCTCCAAACAGCTTGTATCGTAGTACCTTCCACACTTTATGCAGCGCCAGGGCGTGTCTGGATAACTTTTATGGCATATGGCACACGAGACCATTTATGTGTCGATACAAGGGATCAAAAAAGCCTTGATAATTATGTCAGTTAAATGACAGTTTAAAACTCACGAGCACATTGACAATTTAAATGCTCAACAGTCAGTAAGCACAGGCACAATAAAAAAAAAATAATGTAGGCGCTTAGCCGACGATCACAAGAACAACAACTTGTAGAAGCACAGCGTATGAGAGACACTTTAGTATAACTTGACATGAGTTTTTGAAAAATTTGCTTTTTTTTTAGCGGTCCAACCAGAATCAATGAGAATTTATACAGGGCACAAAACCACTACTGCACGTAACGCACTAACAAAATGAACTGTCAAATTTTGCTTAAAAACACAGAAGTTAAAAGTGAAAATTTACGGAGCACGTCGTAAACACGTCTTAGCTCATCAGACGCAGTGGGACCAATCCCACTACAGGCCGGGTGCGTCGGGAGAGAAGGGATACAATAATCGATCGCAGCGCGAGGTGCGGCCAAAATGTAAAACAGCGCGTCCCCACTTGTACGTAAAAAGTATAAGAGGAAGTATATTAAGTTATCTGAATAATTATAATTTTCACCTTTAATAAGTCAAAACTTGTGTTTTTCAATTGCTTGAATTTTGATTTTCATTTCCAAGTATCAACTGTCACACTTATTCATAATTTTCTCTAGCATTATATCATTTAATTTGTTAGCTTGACAGCTGGCCTAGTGTTTTTTATCACATGAGACCTCCTCTACATGTCGATTCTTGTCGATCTACATACAAATAAACAATAAAACTAACCTATGCACGAAATAAATATTAAAATTTGTTTTAAAATGTATACTTGCATATAATATGACTTTATAAGGAATCGACAAAGGTACAGTTTGTCTTACTACTCGGGCTTCAATATGCGAGCTCAGTCCATCAGAACGGTATTCTTTGACATGGGATATGTGTTGATTTTCAACCAAACTTTCACCTTTTTTAGGACCTTGAGGATTGAACTTAATTGAGTGGGTTATTTTTTCAAATCCGGTTTGTATAACGATGTCTATATTGTATTTATTGTCATAACTTATGATAAATATTAATGAAAAATACGAAAACTTTGCTTAACTCCCTATGCTGTCAATGTTAAGATACTTGTATACGAGGACACGCTGTTGACATATTTGAGCCACGAGGTGGCGCGACATGACTTGCACCCGGCCTACACACGTTCTATAGATGCACTGACGTTAGTTTTACAAGTTCCGAGAAATAAGAGATCCAAGAGACAATAACTTACCCAATATCGGAAAAGAGTCAACAAAAAAAACCGACCCTGCTTGTAAATATCCCCCAAAAAACAGTGATCAAAAAAGGAAAGCCATGTTAAGCCGGCAAAGACCCAAAGAAATCTTCAAGTAAGCGGCAAGCATGCTGCGACCGCAGAAAAACGTATCGCCAGGGTAATCTTCGTAAGGTCGTAGACTTGACGGACGACGAGTGCATTTATATCGTACTAGATTTGTCCAATAATACATTAAATATTAATTCAGATATTTTTGTTAGCTTGGTAAAGCAAAATCACTTTATTTTTTAACAAAAAAATATTATAATAATGTTTACAATGGTAATTATTTATACTAAATTACATATTCGAAAAATCCGTACTTTATAATCTTTATCTCTTAACTCATAATTTTTGTTTCATTCGAGTTTGTGAATATTTTTACAGTAAAAAATTACAATCATAAATTTTTAAGGGTTAGTCGCTTAGTATGTAATAGATTTTAAATTTGCTTCGTAAATAGAAAATATTGGTTTATGATCAGATGACGAAATTTTCCTAATTGAATCATATAAGTAGCATTTAGCTAGATTACATGTACTATTGCTCAAGTTTCCATCGAATGTCAAATGCAATTTTTTAGATTTGAATAATATTCTATCAGTGTAAGATGGGGCTCGATCATTATGAAGCAAATTATTTTTTGGAGATTTTAGATGAAATTTATAAGTTGGTGGGAAAGTGACTGGAGCTTCTTCATAATCTTTCAAGTTCTCATTTGTATCCATCAGAATCAAAAGTTGATCTGTTTTTAAATCAAGTTTTTCATATGTATTGAAATGAGTTCTCATTATTCGATGACAAACCATCTCAACAGGTTCTTCTGTACGAAAATTTAAATCACCAAACAAAAAAATGTAATCAAATTGTTGAACTTTATCTGAAACATTAAATAAAATATTATTAACAATATTCCTGTAAACTCTGTCAAGTTTTAAGCAACAAATTATCTCGAATGAATCAGAATAAAAAACGTACCATAAGGGTTTACGCCGCAGTTGATAATAGTTGCATGGATTTCCTCGTGGATCAGCTACGTGGGATGGATGCTGATCAGAAATGGATTCTGCGTTGAAATAGTGTGGAAACAGTGTGGAAAGTACATCGATTCCACGAGGACAGTTTATAGATTCCATGAGGAAAGATCATAAGTTTCATGTAGATTTTTGCAAGTTTATCCATGAGGACTTTCTTCGAAGATCCGCGAGGGTATTTTCGTCATTAAAAAAATGAAAAAAAGTTTCTTCCTTAAGCAGGATTTGAACCCGAGATCTTTTGATTTCGAAATCGAGGCTAGTACTCTAGGGACTGAGCTATCAATCAGATATATAAGTTGACCCACTTTATATTAAAATGGACTTTTAAATTTTTATTTTGTTTATTCGATATTTTTGGGTTTTAAAAAATTTAGTTCGTTACATTTTGAATAAAGTTTAAAAAAAATGAAATTGTTGTTCTAAGTATTTTTTTTACTTATTATTCACTAAAAATCGATCACTTATATAACTGATCAATAGCGTGGTCAGTAGAGTTCCAGCCTCGAATCCGAAAGATCCCGGGTTCAATTCCTACTCTCGGGAGAAACTTTTTTTCATTGCTTTAATGACCAAAACATCCTCGTGGATCGGCTAAGAAAGTCCTCATGGATAAACTGGCAAAAATCTACATGGAATCTCTGATCTTTCCTCGTGGAATCTATAAACTGTCCTTGAGGAATCGATGTACTTTCCAAGCTGTTTCTACGCTATTTCCACGCAGCATCTATCTCCAATCAGTATCAATTCCACGTAGCTGATCCACGAGGAAATCCTTGCAACTATTTTCAACTGAGGCGTCAGTGAGAGAGCGCGCGAGGTGGGTCTGAAGTGAATTATTTTAAAATTGTTTGGTTCCGAGGCACCGTCGGTGTTTCTTAGTGGTCTGCATTCGCCAATTAAGAATTAAAAACAAAAATATTTCTCTAATGTAACAGTATCATGAAAATTTTATGTATAATGAGTAATGTTCATTTCTTACCTTTGAAAGATTGTTTAAGTGGTAGAGATCGAGAAAATTCTAAATTTTTAAAAATATGTTCAAGTTCAGATACTCTAGTTTTAATATTTTTCTCATGCGCAGAAAGATGCGACGTTATGAATAAAAAACTGGTATGAAAAATCATTAAAGCAAGGGATATTGCTCCTTTGGTTTTGAAGAACTTCAACTTGTTTAATAAACAACAATGAACTTCTATAATAGATGCAAATCCAATCAGCTCTTTTTTCAAAAAAATCATGGCTGTAATCATGCCAAGTTGTTTTTTTTCTTTTAGACAATAGGATGCTCCAATTATACCTTGCAATGATTCTAAATACTCTTGATTTTTACAATACTTTGTTTCTTGGGAACTCAGCACAATAATATCTGGATTATGACTCAATTGGGTAGTAAAAGCACTACATAAATCTTTAATTGAATTCCGACCATTCATATTCCAAGATCCAATAAAGATTTTTAGCTTTTTATCATTATGCAATTTTTTCAAATTTTTTACTAGATTGCATGAATTGTATTCATACAAGAAAAATCTAAAATTCAAAATATGATAATGATTATTAAACAGATAAATAGAGAATATTTTTATATTTTTCTTTCTACAATATATGATTTCATAATCAAATTTAATGCTTTACAAGCGCCCTCAGGAAAAGCTTTGAATCAATGCAAAGGTAAAGAAGATAGCGATTTGAAGCTCAAAGATAAATGTGAAGTACACCCGTATGGCGATAGCTCGACCCACTCTCATTGTGCCGCAACGCACACGTCTTCCGAAAAAATATTGACACTCGGACTTATCACAGTATTGTTGGATTGATTAGAAAACTGACCAGTTGGCGATATAAAGATCGTTTAAAAACACTCAAAAAAAGTCTCTTTATTAACTGTACTTTTTTTCAATTCTTTACTGGCCATTTTAGACGCTAGGTGGCTGAGAGTCAAAACGTGCGCTCCCATAAATCAATGTAGATAAAAGCGAATCGTTTTCATTTGTATTAAAGTAAAAGTTAAATAATCACATATAAATTACAATAGTTAAGTGTCCTTATAATAACTAATAAAATATGTGAAGTCACGGTAGAACAATCAAGTTTCCACTTCATTCCTCGACTTATGACTATCGCGGCCTGGAGCAGCATGCGGTCAGCACAAGCTTCCCATATTCGGCCATTCAAACCTGAACTATGGTTTTCCCAGTTAGAAGTAGTGTCCCAGATCCTGCGCATATTGTCCGATAATACTAAATATAACATGGTCCTGCGGCCCTGGACCAGGATTCTATAATGAATCTGCCCGATAATATAAGAACCACCACAAAACAATTACGAAACTCTGAAGGCGACCATACTGCAGTGTATGACGAGGCCAATAGACCAGCAGCTCCATCATCGAACTGGAGTTGGACGACAAGCGACCTTCCTAGCTGCTGCAACAGATGAGAGATCTCGTGGGAGATAGCTTCTCTCAGAATGTGCTTCGATTCAAGTGTTTCAATCTTCTTTCCCTGTCAATCGCCTAATCTGCCGACTGTGCACCGGCGGTTGCCGGAACAGGGTGTTATGACCCAGTCACAAGAACGGAGTCGTGCGCGCTGCGTTCCTTAGCTCGCGTTCCCTGCTGGTATGCGCCGTTGGCTATTCCTCGGGTGGGGTCGCTTCTCGATAAACGCGTAGAAACGTGAAGAAGTTGCAGCGTTTCTCCCTGTCTATGATGTCACTTCCAATGATGGAAAATAATGACCTCAATGAGGTGGACCGACGTTGCCTCGATTCTCGCGAGAAGGTCTTACGTCAGCAGAGTTCACGACAACGAAGTATCACGAAGCCGTCGAGCTTGCACGCAGGTCGTCGACCTGTTGAGTCAGGAAACTCGGGGAGCGCAACTCTTTCGTCTAGACGATCTCGCTCGTGTCAAGAGTCAAAAGGACATCTGCCTAAGTTGATGCCTAAACACGAGGTCGATTGAAGAGGAGGACGGAGTCTCGAATATTCTCCTATGTGCGATGCAACGGCAGTGAGCGGCTGTTATATCCTCATTCAAAGGAGTAAGCCCAATAGTCTGTCCAGAGGCTAAGTTCGACAATCAGCCCAGAGACTGAGTTCGATATTCGTTCGAAAGTTAATTGGGCAGAGTTTTGGTGGTGCTCGGACGGTCGTTCAAAAACGAGTGAGCCTCAGCTCGGATTTTCCTCTCCTTTTATACCCGCGGCCTGGGGACGAAGAGGGAAAAAAGGGGGTGGTTAGCACGTGCCACCGTGAATCCGATTGGCAGTTGTACTGCTTTGATCTGCGACTCGCCGATCAGCCGATCTTTTGCCTTTCTCATTTCTGGGAAGTGGTAACGGATTGTGGCAGTGGCTCGCTTAGCTGGTTCAGACCTGTGTTGTTGTTGTTTGGTTGGCTTCTGCGGGTCCCTTTCAAGGCTTTTATGGGTTGGTGTGAATTGCCTGCTTGCAGCGGGGGTTGCCCCGAATATATTGCTTGATGTATTTCGCAATGGAGCATTGATTCAGTGTATAGGCAGCCCAATGATGTCCTACCTTGGTTGGTACATAGGTATACTTTGCTCTGAATGAGCAGTGCGTTGCCTGACGTACAGGCCTTTCGTTGCTTCGAAGGAGCTGTGCATCACTCAACGTGTGGGCTTTTCGTTACTTTGAATGAGCAGTGCGTCGCTCGACGTATTAACTTTTCCTCGTCTCGAATGAACAGTGCGTCGCTCAATGGGGAGGCCTGCTTTCTGTTTAGTTGCGCCGCGCTGCTCCGAGAACGGAGCCGTGCGTCGCTCAACCGAGAATCCATCCTACCTCCTGGATGTTTTGACAGATGGCGTTGCTGCGCGGAGGCCAGCTCATTACAGCATCTTCCCCGAGAAAACGATGTGACCCAGTGATCGCACCCTTTTCGACTTGTATTTATTGATCTCCCCTTATTCATTTATTTATTCTAATATACCCTTTTTTCAGAATTTGTATAGATTTGCGTCACCGTATTTCTCGTAGCCAGCGGCTCCTTCTGAATGTTCTTCGACGGAGGCTTCGTCGTCAACAGTGTCCTCTTCGGACTGCTCATTTATACCTTCGTCTTCGGTAATAATTCCATCGCCTTCTTCCTCGGCCGGGCTTCCGTCTCCTTCCGGCTCTTCGTCCGTCTCCATGACCTCGTCGGGTAGCGGCGACACCGCTCGATCGTAATAGCCGGAGCTATTGAAGCACCCGAGGTACGACCTCGGGTGTGCCATCGGTCCGTCCGCCTCCTTCCCATTGTCTAGAGATGGTGAAGGCAATCTTGGTGTCGGCGTGCTTGGCCTACGTGAATCGTCGTATGGCTCTTGGTTTGATATTCGAGCCAGCGTTTACAGTACCTTCGTCCACATCCATGTTGGTGTCACTGCTGATATCCAGCATCTCAACGTCTCTCCCGTTAGTGACCTCGCTGCTGCTGCTAGCCGGATCAATTTTTTCAAGGACAAAGATGATTTCTTCACCGTCGACCGCGCGGTTAATTACTTCGGGTTGCTCACCATTTTGCTCACTTATAGTAATTTGCGATACAAGTAGCATAAGTAACACTTTTTGGCACGGCGTATTTAAGGGCCCGAGCGCAGCGCGCTCGTGCAGTGTTGCAGTTGCAAGAGTCCGCGCTCCATACCTGTCGACGCCCCCTCCAGGAGGAGAGTCGTACCCGCGACATCTGAGGTAGTATCTCGCGTTCTTTCCCGTCCCTATAGAGCTAGCCGGACCCTGGCCGACGACGAGCAGTCGCTCGTCTGGCTCGTCGTATTACGACAAAGTCGGCCAGGCGCTGAGAATGCCTTGTAGACGGTGGACACGGGGAGTCGACCGTCACATCGTCCGTAGGTAATTTTCAATAAGGGGCCAAAGTGTGTTGTTTATTCCGTTGTCATGCTTTGCTATTCTCACGGATGTTATTTCGTATTTTTTTAGTGCTAGTTCTAGTCGTGATAGTGAGTCGCAAACGATGTCGGCGTCGTATTCGTCAGTGTGTTTCTCTCGCGTGAAAATTTGAGACACGATCAAACAAAGACTTGTGTGCGTGCTGCTCCTGTGTAAAGTGCTGTAGTGTCGAAAATCTGCCTTTCAGTGTGTTTAAAATCTATACCACAAGTGCGCCGTGACGTGCTGCATCACCCGGTATGCGTAAATTTATCTAGGCAGTATCGAGGAGGCAGTGAGGGCCAGTTTTTTGCCGGTCTATCGTTACCGGTCTCCGAGCGGACCGGAGCAGTCATTTCCCGCGCTCGCTCCGTCGGTGCGGTCTCCCGTGTTCGTGTGTGTAAGGCGCGCGTAATGCTCCGTCGCGCCGAGACGACAGATACCACAGGCCTCCCTGCCATGTACGCGGAAAACTCTCCGCTAATTGCAGCGGCACAGTCTAAGGTGTTCTCGCTTCTCATTTCTCGGTTTACCAGAATAAGGACCCTCTGGCGAAGACCTCGATGCAAAGCTGGCTCAGCAGCGGAAACGAAAAGAAGTCGGCCTCAACTCTGCCAACAGAGGAGAACACCCTCGCTGCCATCACCAGGAGAATCCTGGAAGCACCGCGACAACAAGAGGTGAAGGACGCGAAGCTGCCGTCCGCCGAGGAATTTGCGACCGGTACATACGAGGATAAATGGTCAGGGTGGAGGAGCTCGCATTCTCGGTCTCACAAATTATCTGAAGACCAAGCGAAACGTCCATACCCCGATCATACTATATACAGGATATCTGGAGCGAGCCATCATAGCCCTCCACCTGGCCGGGCGTCCGGAGTTACCTAGCACCGTGACGAGCGAGGTGACTCTGACGCCAGCGGCTCCCTCCGCGGTTCCAAACCAGGACTGTAAGGGACAAAAGCGGCCTGCAACGTCGCCGGGGCCGAACAATATACCGAAGAGCAGTATAAGGCCCACGAGGGGCGACGTCAGAAACATCAACGATAAGGAGCGAGACGACAACAACAACCTCGAAAACGTCTACGTGGAGGTGAAAAGGCGTCGAGATTGCCGTAGAGAGACACCGGCCCAAGGGCAACCAGCAGCACGGCCTGGTCAACACCCGTAGACGACACAATCGCGGCGCCAAGCGGTTCGACCAAGACCCGATGCAATAGTTGTCAAGACTACAAGTGAGGGAGGCGCAACGTATGCAGACATTCTGCGAAAACTCTACGCGAACCCAACGCTCCAGGACACAGTAGGGAAGAGTGTCAAGTGCATCAGACACAGCCCTTCAGGAGCCCTAGTGATGGAGATGAACAAAGGCGTCGAGAACATCTCTGCCTTAAGGAGGCTCTACACATAATATAAAAGATTATCCAACAAGATAAAACGTATATCAATCGATTTGTTAGATCTTCAAAATGAGATTCCAAAAAAAAAACATGTGGTTGACGATCAAACTTTCGAGACAAACAAGTTTGAAAATGGCGATTTTAACACGGGCTCTTATGGGACGCGGTTTTTTATTGTTTAGAACTAATTTAAAAGATCAACCGTCTCAATAAAAAATATATTTTCTCAAAGAGAAAGTTCCAAGCTTTCGATTGGTATGTTAAAAATTACCCCTTACCGAATTAACTAATGAGTAATAAAACAAAATGTGCGTAAAATCATTGATTTCGAATAGTGCGAGCGGTTGTCTGCCTAATGCGAGAAAGAGACAGACAGACGCCTCGCTGTACTATTGTTATGATACTGTGTAGAGCCTCCTTAAAAACAGAGCTGGAGGCGGCGCTTGGCGATAAAGCCTCGGCCAGTACGCTTTGACACACAACTGCGATCGAAATTAAGGATCTAGACGAAAGTGCGACTAAGGAGGGAATCCGAGAGGCCCTTTGCATACAGCTGGGCCGCTCTGACCTCGAACTGGATGCTGTCAGATCCCTTCGAAAGGCCTACGCTGGGACTCTGACGGCTGTAGTGGCGCTGCCGGACAAAGTCGCGGCCCAAGCGATTAAATTAGGCCATATAAGAATCGGCTAGCTGAGCTGAGCGGAGCGGCTCCACTGTTTCCGCTGCTGGAGCCCTGGGCACATCGCCGCCAGATACAAGGGATCCGATCGCACAGGTCTGTGCTACCGCTGCGCTAAGGAGGGTCATCAGGCCAAGGACTGCAAAGCCCGGCCGACGTGTGTATTCTGTCTAGGACAAGGCCCTGACGATCACACGTCCGGCGGTCCGAGCTGCCCGCGGGTAGGCGAAACACTCCAAACTAGTCAAAAATAAAGATCGTACACCTAAATCTAAACAATTGTGTGTCTGCCCAGAGCGTATTGGAGCAGACCGTCCTGTTCCCTTAAATTACTTTTTGTGTAAATCCGAATCAAATGATTATACAATTGAGTTAATGGGTTTTTAGAGGAGAATCTGATACCATAAATACACTGTATTACCTAAAAGATGTCTCGTATTTTTTAGTTAAATCAAAAAAATCCATTTGCCGAATTTTTAATCTAGATTATTTAGAAGTAACGAATGATGGTCATAATAATTTAAAAGTAAATATTGATCATTTAATAATTAAAACCACAAACACTTTCAAAACATAGAATAACAACACTTAAAATACTTGATATTTGGTATCAGATTGTATAATCAATCCCCTACAGAAATTTCAGCGCCATTCTAATTCTTAAAAACTCTTAATAACACTTTATACAAGTCTAAATAAGTCTTAAAAATTCTTATGAATGTTCGAATTTCATACCATGATTTTTAAGAGGTACTAAAACTTTATAAGAGTTTTGAATGATATAAATAGAAATATTCCCTTATAAAAATTTCCTATAGGATCTCGCGAAATTCCTACAGGAGTCCTATAGGATTCCAATAGGAATTTCGCGGGATCCTATTGGAAATTTTTATAAGGGTTCAGACGGTCAAGGCAATCATTTATTGAATTTTAAAAAATTGTTACAAGTTACAATAATTTTTATAAAGATTTATGAAGATTTTTTAAGAGTTACATAGTGTTCATGAAAGTTTTTAATATTTTTAAAAACTTTTTTGATCGGTATCCACGCTCGCCAAAAGACATGGTGAAAAAAGTATACAAGCAACTATATGAACAATATAGAAAAAGTATACAAGCAACTATATGAACAATATAGAAAAAATAAACAAATAGAAAAAAAACTTTATATTTTTGCTACAAAATTGAGTCTCGACAAGGTTTTATGAATTTTTAAAAACTCTTATCAACTCTTTAAAATCATTAATCAGGTGTACGAATTTCGTACATTTATAAGACTTATAAAGACTTTTTAAGACTTTATACAACTTTATCATGAGAAAAGTTTCCGTTGGAGACAATCACATTAAAAGGAGTAAATAAGAGTTTTCAAAAATTGTAATTAATATTTCTTTCGAGAAAAACGTATTTATGACGCGACTGTAAGACATTTTTTTTCTCCATTTCACAGATAATCAACTAAATGACTAAAAATTTAAACATAATTTTATCTCACCTATCAAATTTTACCTGCCGCTCACTTATTTTCTCTGATTCAATTTCATTACAATTCATTGCCACACTTTAAACTATGAATTACACTTTTTACCTACATGAATAGTGTCATAAATACTTATTCGATGAAATAGAAATGTTTTGAAGTTTAGCTATCAATAGTTTCTATAGTTACCCATACAAAAAATTGAGGTTTTGAGAAAAATAAGATTAAGTGATTTGCAAAAATAAATTATTTATATCTTGATATTTTTTATTTATTTTATATTTATAATTGATTTTGCTTATAGTAGTCCGTTTTATATTTTTTGTATTACATTTTCATGATACCCTTATAAAAATTTCCAATAGGATCCCGCGAAATTCCTATTGGAATCCTATAGGACTCCTGTAGGAATTTCGCGAGATCCTATAGGAAATTTTTATAAGGGTATAGATAATTTTCAACGGCAATTTTGGTTCGGAAGTCCTAAAAATGTAGATGAGAAAAAATAAGAAAAAGCGCAATATTATAATATAAAACGAAAAATTTATCAATCTCAAATTAATTTTTAAAATCAACCAAAAGTAGCTTGTAACGTGAAATTTATGGGAAAATCTACTAATTTTCTAACATTTTCTTTCAAAGTCAATTTCTTTTCATGAGCACTCGTTACTTTTTATCGTTTTTTACCTAAAAATAATGTGCATGTCAAATTAATATTAGGGGTATTGGTCTATTTAGAAAATCGACTAGAAAAAAGTTCTTGAATTTTTTAAAAATGTTATATGCTTCAAGGTAAATTTCATATAGAACTGTTTTCGACAGATAAATTAAAATTAAAGAATTTTATTCAACTTAAGAATTCACCTTGCATCGCTAAGGATTATTTTAAAAAATCATGGTTTCAACTTATACAAGTGCATTTAAGGGAACACACCTAGGTGTTTATACCTATAAATGAAAAACATGAAGATTAAGGATTACTATTAAAATTTTTTGTTTCTGATGTTAAAATAAGTTTTTATAGGTCCTATTACAACAAAAAATATGTCTCTAGTTTCTCTTATTATTAAAAATCATCCATTATTCATGTATATTGACTTACGTGATT